GGCACCAGAACCTTAGGGTCAATCTATACTGAACCAACAGTAAAATGAACAACCACAACCATATTTTCCAAATAAAGACAAACTATACTTTCCTACAGCCTTTGCTAACAAATAGATGCATATATTTAAACATCCATCTAGATAAAAGGTATAGTGGATAAAGTTCTTTCAGGTTTGAGTTCTGAATTCGAACATCTTTTCCATCGTCATTACTTAACTACTTTTAGCAATAATCATTCTGCATAAAATGTATATTTACAAGTAGGTACTAATATCTACAAAAATTGTTTATTTACTAAGTTTTATTAGAATTGTTATTTATTTATGATATAACTGAAGACTGACTTGCATTTTGTCTTTACCAAATATAACACAAAATCTAGTTCTTAAAAGAGCATAACTTCTGTACTTATCATCTTTAATGTTAGTATATTGATGTGTATAATTAACCACAGTGTTTCGTGGTCAAGTAATTGTTAATCTATGAAAGATTAAAATGTTGTATTGAGAGTATTACTGTAGTATCACTTAAGAGTATTACTGCTGCCACTGTTAGTAGTATGATGAAAAAAAATGGTAGGGGTGGCCACAGATTGGTTAAAGTTGGCCATGGCCACCTCTGCCCCCCTTCTAGTACCACCCTGAGTCCAGAGTACCACATCCTCCTAAATCCTGCTCTGGTTTCATTTACATTAACACACCTTTACATCATGCAAAATGCTGGAAATATTCATAGGAATTCCATATGAATTACAGCTTTTCACTTCAATGAGCCATTTGAATGTTGGATTATAAATAACAGAATTGTTTTGGATATGAAAACACACAAAGAAAGAGAGGCGTGCAACAGCACACAGTCAACTTTGCAAGAGTGCAAAACTAAGAGTAGGTCTTGAGGGAACAGGAAACTGGCTTCCCTCCTCCCCCGTTCAATTCAACCCCCCTCCCCACACCCACCGCCGCTCTCCCCCCTCCTCCCCCCTCGCTTCCCTCCCTCCCCTCTCCTTCAGCACCACGCTATAGCAGGGAAGCAGGCAGGCCAAGTTGCAGAGTGCAGCTCAGCCTCGATAGCGGCTGCTTCCTAACCGGGGCTTCTCGGAGAGCATCGCGCTCCCATGTGCGCTGCTGTGCCCGCTGGATGTTGAAATCGCGCCGTGCGCATCGCCAGGAGCCACCATGTCCAACCCGACCCACGACCCCTTCTACTCCTCTCCGTTCGGACCTTTCTACAGAAGACACTCGCCCTACATGGTCCAGCCCGAGTATCGGATCTACGAGATGAACAAGCGGCTGCAGGCGCGCACTGAGGTGAGTCCGCCGGACGCAGGAAGCCGCCAGGCGAAGACTGGACCCTGGGAGAGGGAGAGTTAGGGAGATCCACCACGGGGAGAAGGAGGGAGGAGAGAGGAGGGTTAGGAGAAGGAGAATGGGATGCCAAAGTGCCAAACATTCCTGGGGTAAAAGTAAACAGCAGCTTGTAAAGTCCACGCTCCAAACATGTAGCACCAATGATTACATAGTGACACTTTTAGTCATAATATTAAATAGGAAAGTGGCTTTCATGTGATAATTTAATATATTAAACTGCTCTTTTTTTTCCAAGTGTCACCTGTGATTCCCCTTACATTGATTGACGGGAAACTCCAATTAATCCAAGATTGGACACACTTTAGTATAAAGTCTGGTTTTAAAAGGTGAAGCGCAAAAAAAAAAAAAAAAAGATGAATTGTTGGATTTAAAACATTAAAAAAAGAAGCAGGGAAAACTATTCATCTAAACTGCAGTGACTGAGGCAAAGTAGGGGTATCACCTCAGGTAACCTATTTAATTTGCATATATTTACATATCGCCTGGGTTTTTTACATATTTCCATAAAGTTTGTTTTAGAAGCAAACAAACAGCAAAAGCAAATAAACAATAAAGTCCACGATTCAGCCAGTTTAAACGAAAGTTTCTCTGATAAAAGTGGGTCTGATTGCGGATTTCTGATTGCACATGGGGATGGATTAATCTGATGTCGGTCTCCTGATGCTTCCATGCGTGTTTTGCGCACAGTGTCATCCAGCCTGAACCTTTCGCTGATCCCTCTGTGAGCTATACCACCAACATCTGTCTCCAACAGCTGGCGCGTGATCACACGTGTGTGAATCTAGATTAAAAGTTTGTCTGACATATGTCAGTTAAAAAAAAAAATAAGAGACAGGCATCCTAAAAGAAATTATAGAAGATAATTATTTCATATAATTAGCATAATATTGACTTTTTTTTCCGGATTCTTTAAAAATAAATTTTTTTAGTTAAATTATATGTATTGTTTCAAGATTCAACTTGAAAATCTGAAAAAAAAAAATTGTGTTTGTATTATTTTTTTCAAAAAATTGCTGCGTGTAGTTGCAGGAAAGTCGAAAAAACTTGAATACAAGATATCTAAAAGATCAAGCAAAGCACACAAAGATTAATCTTAAATTAATCTTTCTCTATATGGAATTAACATTAAAGGAAATGTTCATTAAATTTCTGATTACCAATGAAAGCTGTGGTCAGTTGTACACTGCAAAACAATTTTAATCTAAATAAGTCACTTTTTCCTAAAATAACTGCATTTTTTCTTGAATTGAGGAAGTAAGAGAGACACTTGGCCAATAGAGCAGGACAATTTACATTTAAAATAAGAAAAAACAATTGCTTTGTCTTATAACAAGTCGATATTATATAATTATCTTATTTTAAGAGTAAACATAGTCATTCCATTGTCAAATCATCTTGTTTACCTGCTCAAATTTTGGCTAAATATACTTAATTTAAGATTTTTTTTACTTGTTTCTAGATAGTTTTTGCAGTGTATGGACCTTCTCAGTCGCCTTGGGCAACACCTGATTTAACAGTGATAGAATACATTCCCAAAGCTAAAAAATAAATAAATGAATATAGTCACTGTAATAATCAACAATAGGTTCATCATGTTATTTTTAATTCAATATCTATTTAGAAACATTACAAAACTTAATTTAAAGCTTGTAGCAGAATCCTGCTTTTTGCAGTCATTTAGGCATTTTCTAAATTTGAGCTCTTGCTGAGTTACTGCTGCCTCCAGGATGATGTTGACTTTCAAGAGTAGGAACCTGCAACTTTAAGCAGACCGATCAAGTCAATGTTGCTGAGATGCAGCAGCAGCAGCCTCAGTCTGATGCATTATTCATATGAAGCCCCAGTGGACCTCAACTCCTGTAGCACACATACCCAGAAACCAAGTGCAATCACCACGCACACTCGCACACAGTCTCGCATGCATGGGCATGTAGACACACGTTTTTAGACGTTTTCGCAGGTCTTCCTGCACTGCAGTTTGAACAATTATTTTCTCCTGCAAAATTATGTAATTTAAAATTAATATAAGCTATCACTTTTTGTATGAATGCTGCTTGGAGTTGCATGACCTCGTCCTTTTCCTTTTTACTTCTGTATTGAAGCAATCAGGATATCATATGCGTCGTTTATATTATTTGACTTCTGAACATAATGAGGAGGAAAATCTGTTCTTTAGTTCTTTAGCTGGGAAATAAAAGCCTTGAGTTTAGACATTTGAATCCAGATGTGCTATATAGGGAAGTTTAGGCTTTTAACATAATTGTATCATAATTATCCCCATGTAAACAAACCCCTATTTGTACCCCATACTGCTGCATTTAGAAAAAATAATAGAGGTGGTATTTTTTGAGTCCTTTATTTCACCTACGACTTTTAGCAGGATTAATGTGATACTTTCCAGATGCTGGGACCTGTAAAGCGTAGTTAGCTGCAGGTCCCTTGGTGATGATGACCCATGCATGATAAGGCAGTATTCTGCCTCTTTTATCACTGAGCTTTCTCAATTCATAGAAATTCCATAAAAAAAAAAATTGTTGACTCCTGGGAGAAATGTTGTTTATTTCCAGGTAGAAGTTAAAAAGTAGATTGGGTAAGATACATTTGTTTGTGGGTGTTTCTTTTCAGTGTCCAATGGCATACATTATTGGCGCTGTGGTTGCTTTGTCCATTCAGTAGAATATTAAGCTTATAAAAAGATGTTTCGTTTGATGAAAAATAAGCTGTTGGGGTGTTCAGCAAAAACTTCAGACTGTACATGATTTGGCCCAAAATGACGAAGGACTATTGCCATTTTCTGCTGTCATAAGTTAGTATTTAACCAGCGTTCTTACTAATCATCCTTGAGGTGGTACTGCCTCTTGGGAAAATGCTCCAAAAGTTAAGTGATCTTAGTCCTGTTTTTAAATTTTACCAGTTTATAATAGGCATATGAATTATTATTCAGGCCAGTATTGCATGAAGACTTACCTTTTGCAAAAACACAATAAATACTCCTGGATAATTAGATATTCTATTTTAGATTATTTTGTAATGTGCAATTAAGTATAAATAATGTTAGTCCGGCAGTATTTGTTGCATCACAGATGTTGTATTAATTCTAGATTGTTTGTCTGACATTATAAATGCATCAGTTTTTTCATTTGTGTCTATGAGTATGGAAATTTACATTTGACTATAGACATATTCATATAAATAAGGTTTTCCTCTTACAGCGTAAAGGGTATTTGTTTAACTGGATGTGCATATGTGCATAGAGATATACAACATACTGTAGTGCAGATCTAGAGCTAATAATTGCTTTCATGGCCTATTCTTTTTCTGCTTAACAGTCAGTTGTGGTGAGGGTTTATTTACACCCCACACGTTTGGTCCTCCCTTGACCTGGACCTTTTGTGCAAGTGTGATTATTCTTTGGACCAAAAGACAGGACCAAGCATTCAAACAGACTCTGCCTCTCTTTGCTTTGGGAGTGAATACGAGGCAGCAGCATCAATCCAACATAACTACAGGGAAAAAATATGCCTTTTAGGATTTAACAAGCTGCTATAGTCGGGTCCGCAACGATTTGAACGTAGTGAAGTCATACCTGAGCCGTCTCTTGCTTAGCAATGCTTCCTGCCACCATACAGTGGGTCATGGCACACAGAGCACATCCTCTCCCTCGGCTTGCAGCACCCATTCTACGACGACGATCACAAATTAAAAATAGAATTCTGTGAAACCTGCCATGAATGAGCTGCTCCTGACACCCAGTGATTTTGCTGCTGTAATAATGAATCAAATATGTAGAACAGAAATTCAGCGTCAGGACTTCCATGACAGTTTCCCTTAATTTCTGGATCTGTGCTGTGTCACCTGTCCTGCCCTGGTCATTTTTGTTTAATGATAGCAACTATCACACCTGTAGCTTATTAGCAAGTTATAATTAACTTGTAACAAGTACAGCTTGTAAAAAAAGTAACAAAAAAAAATTGCATTTTTGAATGGGATCAAAAAAGCGGGAATTTGAAGTGGCAGGTAACAAAAATTCAGGTCCCATTAGGATTCAATTTTTTTAAGCAGAAGAGTTCTGTTTTCATAGAAGCTGAAAACAACTTCATTCACGCCTTGAATTTAGAATTCCTTTGAGTCTTTGCAAGTTATGCTCTTCGATGGTATTAAACAGGTATCCTTTGTTTTTAAAATAGCAAAAATCTTTCAGTTACACAGTTTTGATTATGTCAAAACTGATTTGTTTATTAGTTTTGCAACCTCCTTATGGAAAAAATGAAAACATCTTTCAACTTAACAAAAAGTTCTACGGTTAGAGAAAGATGAAAAATGTTATATATTAAAGGTACATTTGAGAATAATCCACAATAATAATCCGTGCTTGGCAAACGGTGTCGGTACTCAGTGGTACCTATTTTCTGTATAATGCTGTCATCTTTAACACTAGGCTGACTTACCTGGAACAGAAAAGATGAGGATGCAGATGCTATTGTCACTCTTGCTGTCAAACATTACAAACATTTCATCTCTCCTTTTGCTGGCTGCAGAAAATAGCCCACGGATTCTATTGGACATTGAATGCTGGCGTCCTGGCTGTGGATCTAAGGCTGTAGAAAAATGTTTCCACCATTTAGTAAACAATATATTGCCCCTAACGAGGTCTTTTAGCACAGCAGAAGTATTCCCTTCACTGGCTTTGCATTTTGCGTCACTAATAGTTTACTCAGCATTCATTTTTGGAAGGTGTAGAAAAATTCTCAAGAACTTTCTGTTAAACATTCTTGCTTTGTTTACTGTTCCAGCGGCTTCTGATGTCCTCAAACTGTTCAGGTCTGACATGTAACCTCTACTCCGTTCGTGTTAAACAAGGATTCTTCAAGATAGGGAAATATTGTGTGATTTTACAAGAATAGGTACAGTACTTAGTGGTTGACTGAAATTCGTCTAAA